GCTGCAAATTATCCCGCTTATTACATGGCCACATTCTCAACAAAGTAACGACATGACTCCCAATATTAATTGAAATGCTTTTATGGATTTAGAAAATGTTTTTATTGATTTAAAAAATAGTTGTATGTATTGATTTAAATTGACATGCATCCGCTAAGAAAAAGTCCGTTGTTACCGTTTTTTAAACAGTCAGAATGAAACGGCAGCTCTCAGCTGTGTATTTACACAACTAATGGCCCATCAACCACAGCTCTCTCCCCCCNTTTGAGTTGAGTTACTTGAAAAGCTAAAGTGAAACTTGATTTATTTTATTGCAGGGTCTGATTATTAAATGTCCTTGTTTACTTGTGAGATGCAGTGGCATAAAGAAAATGCTTACTTTGTTTGGTAGTACTAGTAGGTACGAAAACACTGGTTTTCTTGTTCCAGTCTGTTACTGTCACTTTGTTTTTGACACTTTAAAATACTGCTATCCTACAAAAATGCTGTAAAAATCCGATTTATTATGTAATAAAAAACATTTTCTATTTAAAAAAAAATATTTATGAAAAAAAAATGTCTTCCCTTTATTATTCAATATCGCGATAAATACCGTACCGTGGACTTGTTATCGCGATATTATCGTACCGTGAGTTTTTGGTATCGTTACATCCCTACTAATAACGGAGCTCAGCTGTTCAGACATTATTATGCATCAAGTGATATACATGGTCAAAACGACCTAGAAGCACACAGCTTACAGCTGTAGTCATGTGACTTTAGCTAACGTTAGTTAGTGAAATTAGTTAATTAAATTAGTTAGTTAATTTGTGAATGTAATCTTTGCTAGCTAGCTAGCTACGTTAGCACGTATTTACCTTGGAGCAAACGTATTTGTGTTTGTTGATATTCGCCATATTCAGCTGGGCATGAGGCCTGCCGCATTTCTTTATCCACTGGCGGCATCTCTCCTCTCGGGTTTTGGGTTTAGGAAACGGGTAAAATATCACCCCCCCCTCTAAGCTTATGGGATATCTGCTATCCGATTTGCAAAGACCATAAGCACAACGCTTCACCATTTTCGCAATGAATTTGAACGCTTGTCGGACTTCCACAGGGAGCCGCGCACGTGATCGAATATGATTGGACAACGGGCATTTAGGGGCGTGGCTTTGCGAAAGGTCAATTGGAAAATTACCTCATTGAGAGTACATATATTTTTTATTTATTTGTTTTTCAAATGAGCTCAAAATTAGTTTAAAGGAATTCTTCATTCAAAATGTAATTTGCCACCCCCCCTCCACTAAAAAGTAAAATGTTTAATATAGCCACAGGCCAATTGTGTAACCTTTAAAGGGGCCCTATTCTGCTTTTGGGGGTTTTCCCTCTCCTGTAGTGTTTTCCATAGGTTTTAGTGCATGTAAATGGTGTGCAAAGACTAAAATCACTGTGTTCCTTGCAGAGGGAGTTTCCCTGAAAGAAAGAGCTTTTTGAACATTAAATCATGGAAATCATGTCACAGAAGAGGCATTAAATACAAACATGAACCTCAAAAGGAGCATCATAGAACCCCTTTAAGCTTGAAGACATAACATTTGTGGCATATAATGTTAGAAATAATTGTATAAAACTGTGACATAGCAGTCACTTGTTTATAATAAGGAGGCTAAAACAAACCTCACCAGCTGTGTGTTGACTAACATTATGTTCATAATGAATTGCAGCTGGTTTTTCTCTCTTGAAATACAGCTGTTGCTCTGTGAGTGTGTGTCATCAGTGGGGGACGCAGAGAGAAGACTTCTCACAGTCTCAGTGTTTTGGCAGCTTCATGACTCTGGTTTACAGACTTTTATAGACGGCCATGGAAAACATAAGTAGGACAGACGTTTCCCCACTAAGGTATATAACGTTAATGATGTTTTTATACCCTGCAGGGGGTTCCTGAGGTGTATCATGTTTGACAAATAGTAGCTACACTATCAAATAAAGTTTAACTGCAGTAGTTATACAGTGTTACTCCATTAGTCATAGTGGGTTTAAAACCAATGTTTTATCTGAAGGTACAACTAAACAGACTTTTATAGTAATCCAGATGTTGGCATTTGATGGACTTTCTGCGGTAAGCAGGTCTGGAATTTGTAGAAGTGTCTCAAATGTGGAACATGTGGGTTTGGTTAAACATGTGAGGGCTGCTCCAGAAATCAGCTGACCATCTCCTGTGTCTCAGGAGTCTGCCTATATTTGTCTCTGTTTTGAGTAAAACATAATTCATGCAGTGACATTTATCATGAAAGTTTTTAGTACCTATATTTAGTACCTATATGGTGATGACTTCTCTTCTCTGTCACTGTGCAATGTTGTTCAGACAGGCGGGGGGTGCTGGCTGGGGGTAGGGAG